CACCTGAACCTGAAAACCAAAACAAATGTCTGTTCTTGCAAGGTCGGGAACTTTGTTACTGGGTACTGGGCACTGTTTCCAGATCCCCATGGTATTCAGGACAGAAGTACTGCCCAACCCAATACAGAGAAGACAATTTTAGAGCAGAGTTGAGAGCAAGTGAAGAGTCCAGTGCCTCAGCTTCAATTTGCCAACAAATAGAGCAATCCACAGAAATGACCATGGATCAGAGCACTTCAGAATCACTGGAGTTCAGCAAAGAACTAAACCCACCTGCTCCATAATTTGAACAGAAAAATAAGAACAAGGCTCACAGGCAGCAGCAGCAGTGCCTTTCACCATGGGAAACTCAGAAATTGAACATAGATGCAGTTCTGTCTTGTGATTGCTTGCATTCACTGGGACAGCTGGGCAAGTAGGCAATGAAAACCTTTCACTACACCACTCAGAGCAATCTTCTGGGGAATTGAAAGATCATGTATATGAAAAGTGTTGAAACAACATTACTTGGTATATTATGTTTTTAAAGCTCAGGTGAAATAGATAATTCAGGTCACACGGATCCAACAGTCACCAGAACCATTCCCCACTTACATCTTGAAAGTGAACTACAACTGCCATCACTCTCTCATTTATATCTACATACCTAGAAGTGCTTACCTAGTCTTTACAACACAGGGCACCAGGGTTTCTTCCTTGTGCATTTCTAATACAGTTAGTATTTTCCCCATGAAATCTACTGAAGTAGGAAAAATTCTAAGCAGAAAGACTTGGCAGCAAAATACTAGCTTTTGGTTTGAAAATGGATACTCTCCTGCCTCCTCCTTTAGAACTGCATGTGGCCTTCACAGGATTGAGCTGGGCTGCTTGAAGAAAATTGCATACTGCGTGAACTGATGGAGTATGTGAATTGAGTTTGTGTAGTTTATCCCCCAAGACATTATTGCAAATGTGAACAATCATTTCAGTTTCTCCTTATGTTCGTTAAGCACTCCTCAAAGACTGATGAAAAGGCAAACTGACATTAGATCCCAATTGTTCTATCAGTGAAACCTTTAAAAAGGGAGGAGAGTAGCTTCTTAGAAAAATTATTGAAATAGCTGATCACAAATAGCTCCACAGCGTGACACCATTATAAACTAACAGGAGTCTGCTCTGGAAGGACTCCAGGCTCCTCCCCAGAAGCATGTCAGGTCAGCAGTAAAGCTTTGCCTTTCAGCATAATTGGTAAAGCAGTGTACCTCTGCCCACAGAGGAAACAAGGTGCAGCTCTCCTCATTCTACAGTACTAACAGTGGATAACTATTGGCATTCCCAGTGAAAACATCTTTCTACTAGGTACAGAAGAGAAGGTTGCATTAGAGCTAAAAGAAGAAATAGATTTGAACACTGGATGTTTTTTCCCCATGCTTCTGGTATTAGAAATATAACTGCACCAGGTGTTTTCTGACTACTCCGTGTTTGCTTAAGACTGTTATTCAGCAAATGACTGCAGCAGCTGCTTGCCTACACTTCATAAACTGCAGAGGTGCATTTCCTAAGATGCAGAATAAAGTCTTTGAATTGATGTAGATGTTTCCAATTTACTGCAGTGAGCAATGACTTTTTTTTCCCTGAAGTACTAACGTGGCAGACAGACCATCAGAGGTAGCAAAGAAACTAAGACCTTAAAACAAAGCCCATAAAACAAAGCCCATACAATTTCTGCTGAAATTCAATCAAATTTCATCCAATTGTTTTGGTAATTCAAGGATTACAGCAAAATCATGATACTTCTCTTCCGTAGCCAAACAGAATTGATCAGACCCTTGAAAATAAAAGCCATCATCAAACTTGATTTCTACCAGCTAAATCCTAAATCTGCTGCACAGTAACTTGAGCTACTCCACAAAGGGCCTCCAGCCCTGATCTCATGGAGGTTTCTTCAGCATTTATTCTCCTTGGGTGAAGCATTCTTAAGCAAGCAAAAGCTGTCCAAATGTTTTCTGTAGCATCCATTTCGAAGCTCAGCAAAGGATCAGACAAGGATTTTAAAAGGTTTCTTGAGATGCGTCAGGGGAGCCATGGCCTGTAGGGAATCCCTAAGCTTGGCCTAGTGAAACTTTAGTTTCACTTTAGCTTTAGTTACTTCACCAGATGCTGTCAAACAGCTGTGCATGGAACGCCTCTTCTTAAGCTGCTTTTACTTACTCTTCTAGTCCTGAAGACTTCAGCTTAAGGTATTCCACCTAGATTGCATCTTTGCAGTTTCCTTAACTATCTCAGGACTCCCAAGTTTAAGACACTGAAATAAACACTCTCCCTTCTGTAGCTCAGATTGAGAAATCAGTGGCGATTTCTCTTTCAGGGAGCAGCCAGCAAAGAGGTATCACTCTCAATTTAAAACAGACATTTGCATCATCTGAAGAGGACGCTATCCGGTATCAGAATCATACTTCTTGGAAATCAGAAAACTGGGGTTCTCATCTCCATCTCAGTACAGTTCTCACTCCAGCCACAAACAGATATTAAATACAGAATGCTACGTGTAAGCAGAAAAAGGAAATACTTCAATGTACAGATTTACTTACACAAACTCTCCATTCTTTCTCTTCTGGTTCCCTTTCTCAACCCCAAAGATTATTATCTTATTCTCTGTCAAGCACAGATTTATTATGTGTGCCCATATGATTTTGCCATCACTCCTTTTGGCAGAACAGGACACTTTTTGACTCTCATTAGCCCAGTATATTCATTCAAATCATCATCTTAAATACCTACTTCTCTCACTCGGTGAAGACTGAAGTGCTTCTCAAGATTCACTGTGCAGAAGTTCTCAGCTAGTTTGGTTATTTAATCCAAAATCTGTATCTTCCTTATTCATTAGCTGCCCTCAATTTACTGGCTCTATCTATCTTAACAGACCACAAGCTCACCAGCTCCTATTACTTATCCAGTTATGCCTTCCTCCACCAAAAATCCACAACTCCAGCTGACCAGGGAAGTATTTTCAGAACTCACAGCCTTCTCAGCCTTGAAATACATAGCATCTTCTTGCTTCCTTCACCTTCTTTGCTAACTGTAGGCCTGCTTGATGTCTTCTGCAACTACTAGGAGGAGTCACAGACACTACCATTCATCAGGCTACAGCAGCAATTACCCATCTTCCTTTAGATAGCCAGCAGATTCTCCCAGCAAAGGCAGCACACCACAGCAGTCCTCCTACAAAGCCAGAAGGCAGCACTATGACTCCAGAGCCATTTAGATTGCCACGGACAAGGTAGTCACTTCACACAAAACCCTGTTCAAATAAGGTCAGGAACCACTAGCCCAGAAGTTTCAGTTAAATTTTGAACATGCAGAAACTCCGTACAGCATACGGTAGTGCTCTCCTGTTCAGAGAATTTGTACTGATTGCCATTAGCTTCCACTTACTTACCATCTTTACTTCCAAAGACAGGCTCCTCCCATTCTACAGAAAGTACCAGAAAGAACTACAATCTCTATTTTCCATTTTAACTACAAGACTTCCAATATTTGACCTAGAAACTTCTTTTACGTATCAGTAACATGAACACTGACATTAGAATCAAGCCTGCTCTTTCATTAGTTACAGAATGCTGAACCATGTGCAGCTGAGACAGTGTTAGAGCCACCTTCTTAACCCACTCATTTATAGTCTTCACCCATTCATTGTATGAACTGCAACCATCTTGGCCAAGGCAGTCTCTCAGGAAAGTGAGGCCCCTTCTCTCTTTTTACTCTAAGTTAGACACATTCAAATGCATGCTGAGATGTAATAGCAGACTGTGGCTGCTGAAAGACACTGAATTGACAAACAGGGCTTCCAGTCAGACTCTTGCGTACTTTCCTTACCTTAGAAGTGACACTTCCAGTAGCCCTACAGATCAGAAGCTCAAATTCTTATCCCATACCAGTTAGAAACCAATATCTTATACCCAGATGCTAAGCCACAGGATGAGCGCTGCGTAAATGGCCTTTCCAGTTCCTCATATGCAGCCTCCATGAACTTTGTGAATCCAATTGTCAAGGCACAAACAACTTAAGGCACTCTGATGGATGCCTTTTAACCACTTTTGATAAGCCCTCAAAATGGAGGTACTTACAGTCCTTTGGAAGCTGTGCTTTTGGACATCACTGACCATGAGCATTTTTCAAGTTATTTGTGCAATCAGGGATACCAGCTGTCTTAATTCTGCAAGAATCATCATATTTTATGTCTTTAAAAACATGAGGTAACTGCTCTGCAGGAACCAGTGGGGATGATTAGGTGCCAGAACACCCAACTAAGACAACCCCACAGCATATATAGAAGTCAGCCAATTCTCATCCAGGGTACAGAGGCAAAACAACATGAATAGCCTCTGCCATGCCTCTGAGGTCTTGGATTTGCCCTTGGTCAAAAAGAGGTTTGTTTTCTGTGTTAGAACATTGCAATTGTCAACAAAAAGGGGTACAAGCACAATCATGCTTACTAGCAGATCAGTAAGAAAAGGTTTTCCTTACATACTTTGAGTTGACCACATCCTGAAAAGCAACAGACTCAGACATGGCAGTTTCAGAAAAGCCCAGGTGTGAGACTATGTTACCCCAAAGTAGCAGCTGATAGGGAATAAACTCCAAAAAATAATTAAAAGAAAGCAAACAGGTTTAGTTGTCTGAACAAGGAATTTTAATTTTAGGTCAACTATTGAACTAGGTCAACATCCAGTTCACAATGTCTACAGATAGTGGGCATAGCCAGTCACTATGGTAAGTATATTGAAGCACCAAGCTCCACACAAGACTGTAAAATACATTTTAAACTACTAGTAAGAAAGCTTCTTCAAGTCAACAATACTAATAAAGGGCCAGAGTTTACGGTCTAGGATTTCACCTTCCAAGCTCTTAAGACAGCCAATCCATCGCATAAGCAAATCAAACTGCTACATACTGAAACACAGAGCAGCAACTGTATTGAACAAATCCTGTAAATAATTCAAGGATACATTGAAACAGTATGGGTAAATTGTAATTTTTTATTGGAAAACAAATATACAACTTGGAATGGATTTGAGGCAAATCGTGCCATAAGCAGATTTTTTTTTTTTTTGAAAATAAGTGGCTAAACAAAGTTTAAAAAGCATAGTAACAAGAGGAGAAAATGTTTCCTGGTACAGGACCAGCAGTACAAAAAAAATTGTGTACGAGTACCTGGATAATACACCCGTTTTGCATTAGTGCAACTTTTAAGATTCATATTGTTGACTGTCAATCGTCCACAATGTTAAGACTCCACATTTCAACAACATGTTACAGGTATGGCCACAAACAAGTTACTATGAAGTAAGTCAGAATACTTTCTACAGTGCATTAGCCACATATGCTATCCACGTGGTTTTATCCTGCAGTCAACTGTAGGAATCTTTAATCTCCATTAGCAGAAGCGGAATAAACTCTTGTGCACTGGAAAGCTGGAGTCAGCATCTTGCTTTAAATAAGGAACTGCTAATGCATGGTAAAACCTAACTTACTTTATGTAACTTGTTACACTAGTCATACCTACGTCTTCTAGAGAAAGCTATTTTTAAACAATCCAGATGTTCCCTCATTGAACCAACTCCATCTAACATTAGATGTGCAGAAGGGCTTAAATATCCAGAGTAAGCCACATGCAACATTTGTTACTTAGATCAATTTTCCAAAAATCAGAACAATGACAGTAAGATAAAGGAGAAAAACATGGAGGAATGGCCTTCTAATTACTATACATGCATATTCTTTTGACAGTAAGGGAAAAACCTTTTACAGATAAGTTACAAACAGAGAAAAGGCAAATAAACAATTTTGTACAAGAAATTTAACACATTCTGTACAACGTCTTCACTTCGCTGTCATCATTTGTACAAACTCTGCAAAAGGAAAGAGGCCAGAAGTTATTTAGAGAAGAACAAGAGTTGCAACATCTGGCAAGTGACTTGCCTCACTAGTGGCCAATGACATTTCAAAATGTCATTTCCAGTTACATTAAAAAAAGACATTTCCCTTTTCTACCAGTCATGCCTATGCACCTCCTTTTTTTTAAAAAAAAAAAAAAAAAAAAAAAAGCAATTAACAGCTAAAGGCCTCTACTTCATCAAAACTGTCAGTCCACCACAAACTTCCAAATAAGACTGTTCAGAGTCATCTCCTGTCAACCTGCAGTCACCCTTCACATGCCAAGAGAGGAGCCAATGCTGCTGAAGTTACAGTCAGCTACAGACACAAAACAGGTACAAACATTGGCATGGACTTCACAGCAGAATAGCTTACTGAACCACAGACTCAGTTTAGTGTCAGGAACAACAATGAAGTTTTAAAAAGAAGCCACACCTATTCCTTGGGAACAGTACCCTGGATGAGAAAAACTGGAAATACCCTAGCTGGTACTTCTAATATGCTTGGAAAGCTAAAATGAAAGCAAGCTTAGACAGCTTGCGTGCTTCTCAGAAGAGGGAAAAAACTTTTGCTTGCATGAGTTTATCTAAGTTTCAACATCACAAAAGAGAAGTAGAAAGTCAGCACTGCAGCTGATTTGTGTTAAAGTTTACTTTAAAGGTTTTCTAAAGATTGTAAAATTGATAGGTATTTCACAGGCTTTTCCTCTTAATTTTTGAACTATTATGGAAAGATCAGTGACCTGCCAGAGGTCAGAACATTCACTTTCCTGATGTAGTTTCAGATCAACATTTGTTAATAAACAGAACAGTATGTGAATAGCTTAACTAGCTTTCTTATACTAATGGCTATTAGCATTAAGAGTTTGTTGTTGCTTTGTGTGCTTTTTTTTTTTTTTAAATGCTGCATAGTTCACAGCTGCCTTAGGAAGAAAATAGCAGTGACCCACTCAAACCTATGTATGTACTAAAAAGATGTTAGCTTGAAGAGACATCAAAACTGCTGAGGACCTCCCTTGTGAATGCTGTCCTATTTAAATTCTGCCATTACCAGCAACTGGAAAGTGCACCACAATCTGTTAACAGCTCCTTACCTTCATAGTTTACTTGACCATCACCATCAATGTCTGCTTCCCTAATCATTTCATCAACTTCTTCATCTGTTAGCTTCTCCCCAAGATTTGTCATCACATGACGAAGTTCTGCAGCACTAATGTAACCGTTACCATCCTGGGAGGGGAAAAAAGACACGTTTATTCCAGTTTCCCTCAGGCCTAGCAACTCAAAGCTACATTTCTTAAGATCAGCATTGAAAGTTAACACAGATTGAACCACTAACATTTGCATGAGGCAATAAAGAGCCACAAGCACATCTTATGTACTGCCCAGGATCTCAGATAGGTGGATCCAGGCGAGATCCTTAAGGTCTCTTCCACTCCAAGCCACTCTACAATTCTGTGACTACACCATCTTAGAGAGGTCTTTCAGAAAGAGCTTACACAACACAGCCTACCTTACTGTCCTGAGGCATTACCATACTGATGGTGACAAGCATCTCAGTCATGGGCCATTTGGGTCACTTGTCTATTTCTCAGACCAGGAGCAGTTTCTCACACTCCCACTTTGTGGCAATCCAGCACAAAACCACAAGGCCTTCAGAGGCCACTTTTACACATCCCAACCAGGATAGAATATCAAAATACTGGTGCATACAGACTCAAAGCTGCTCATTTCTTCCCCACACTGCACGATACTTGTGTGTTTTCTGATTAAAATTACATTTCATTTAAGGAGCTGATTAACAGTAAACAGCAATTTACTTGAAGTGAAAGATTCACAATGTATTTATTCAATTCCCCTGCCAGCCAACAAGCACTTAGGTACCACAGCAAGCAAAACAATATAGCAGATCTCTACTGTCACCCACAATGACTCACGTGGCTTTCAGGTACAGCACCATAGTATAACTCAACTTCAGCACAACTAATTAACTAGTTCTAAATGGTAGGACTGCAAACGCCCCTAGTTCACTAAGGAATCTTATCAGAAGTCTGAGCTCTTCCAACAGAAGGATTTGTTGAGGCAAACATCTCAGTACCTTGTCAAACACACGGAACGCTTCTCTAATTTCTTCTTCACTATCTGTATCTTTCATTTTTCTTGCCATCATTGTCAGAAACTCTGGGAAGTCAATTGTGCCATTGCCTGCAAGACAATCGCTTTGTTAGAAAAAATGTTTCTCAATACTCCAGTAAACAGTTACTTATTGTTAAGATCTTACCATCAGCGTCTACTTCATTGATCATATCCTGTAATTCTGCTTCTGTGGGGTTCTGACCAAGTGATCTCATCACAGTCCCCAACTCCTTTGTAGTTATAGTACCATCACCATCCTTGTCAAATAGTGAAAAAGCTTCTTTGAATTCTGTACAACAACAAAAAGGAGTTAGTGCTTCCAGTTTTCCAATGGAGAGCTTATTTAACCTTTTCAGAACCACTGCTGTTTATTGGAGCAAATTATTAAACCTGACTTCATATTCTTGAAGGTGTAGAGCTCAGCCTGCTGGAACTGAAACATCAGAGTTAATGCCTTGATGCTGATGTTTCTATCAGTCTAATCACCACGTTTTGGCTTGAAGAAAATGGAAGGTCATCCATTTCAGGACCAGTTGGACATTTGCTACAAATCACCTTGAAGAATCCTCAATACAGAGCTACTCCTCTCAGCTACCAACTAGAATAACACATCCTTGGCAAGATTACTCTTACGAAAAAGTAGTGGGAATTACATTAAGAAAAAGCTTGAAAGCTGTACTCAAAATGCAAATGCTATGGCTTAATACACTTCTATTAGTAGTAAGAGACCATTCAATGGGCAGATTGTAATTAAGACTCAATGTAGAACAGCTTCACTGCATCTCACTTCTGCTGGACACACAACTCTGATCAGCTACTTGAAGCCACAGTCCAGCACCATGGTTCCCACATTTGGCCATACCTTGCCAAAAAAGAACACCACTGCAGTACTGCAGCTTTTCAGTCTAGACTATATCACAGCAGCTTCGGTAATCACTTGTTCAAGAGAAAAGGTCACTGCAGTCACACCAATTTCTGCAAACTTGCCTGGAAAACTGTTTCAGCCCTACTATATCTTGAAACAGCCCTCAACAGAACTAGTTAAAAGCAGCTGCAAGACTGGCTGTTTTACAGTGCTACCTCTCAGGCCCCTACAATAGCTGTACTGTCGCCAGCAATATTAATACAAGCATAACATGTTTAATTGTCTAGTCCAAAAATGGAGTTGGTTTTAATCCATGCCATCTGTTTGTCTTCAGCTACAGACCTTCAACTATTTCACTGGACTGCAGCCGTTCACAGAAAAATTACAGTTAAGCCTGAAAAACTGATTTATTCCCTTATGCCATTCAGATCCTTTTGCAGCACTCAAGGCCACTCAATATCATGCTTTTGGGGAAGTTAGCTAAAGAGCATTAGAAATACTTCCACGAATTACAATTCCTCCCCCATTTCCAAGAAACCTCCTTTCCAGATAGTGGATTTCCCAGATCTGAATTAATCAAGTACAGCATAAAGCCTTTGCCCATTTCTTACTCTGAAACGCTAGATATATTGAGGTACAAACTGGCAAGTGCTGGAAATGCAACTAAAAAATGCTGTTTGTAGTTCATGGATGCAGCCATCATATGAGAACCAAAGCCAAGTTCCATTCAAAAAAAACAAAAACAAAACAAACAAACAAAAAACAAAACAAAAAGCAACTCTTCCACATCTTCAGCTCCAGAAAGCCAGCTCTTGCTGTTCAGCACACAAGACTTACAGGAAGGCTACCACAGGACCAGATGGAACAGTTCTCTCTGCAGTGTGATTGTAAAAATATGGGCTTAGAAGCCTATCCAAACAAGAAGCTACAACCTGTACCTACAATAACTTGCAAGCAATCCTCAGGGCTAGGTTCCAGAAAGCTTAGAGGCAAATGAGTTTGCTAGGATCAGACTTTACATGAAGGAAGAAAGGGCTTTTTGGTCAAGACCAGTAGCAACAACCATAGGCTGCCATCATTCAAGAACCTCAGAAGACTGTCTCCAACAAGCATCAGGTACTCAGGTGTTGCTCAAAACAGCCACCTGTTAGCCACAGCCATAGACAAAGTCAGAACAGACTGCCACTGTAACCCAAACACGAAGCAGACTACACAGCACTGCAGCAATTCCTGCAAGTCCAAATACTTGCTTTCTACACTTCAGTAGTGTGCCCTGAGTACTTGAGATAACCAAAAGACAACTTCATCTTTTTTATTCAACGACGCTGAAGTTATAACCACCATTCTACTCAGCCTCAGCATAACATCACCTTCCTTCAGTTAATTGCTACTGTCACTCTTGAACAGCTTAGACAGCTATTTCCAAACTTTCACAGGTGAACGGGAATTGCTCTCCTATGACCCACCAAAAGTTTGTAACTTAAACATGACTATTTCAGCTATGAAACGAATTTAAATAGCTGTTGTGCTCAGCTCCCCAGAGGGCTGCAGCACACTAAGAACAAAGCACAGCAAAACACCATACATAGGTCTACTTGTTCTGAGAGTCTATTTAGAGACCTCTGAGGTTTGGTGAAGGAAGAACTGCTCACTGTACCAGTTGCCTAGGGACAAAAAGTAGCTTTAAGTTTTCTTAGCCATCCACATCAAACAGTTCTGGCCTATTTACCTTGCTTAACGCAACGCTTAAGCAAAAGGAAATCCATCCAGCCTGGCAAATTCAGTTCTGAACAGAGCTACAGCCACCATCCACACTCTGTATATCCCCAACTCATGCAGTTAAGCCATTCATACAACAGATAGGCCCAACAGGTTTTTCACCTCAGCCCATAACAAAAAAAAACAAAAAAAACAAAAAAACCCTCCAGCCTTACATCAAGACAAGAATTTCCAGCATTTTCACAGAGCAGAAAGAACATATGGAATCTTTAATTGCATTCTGGCAAGAAAACCGTATTTCAGATGAGAACTGCATTTTACCACTTAAAAATTCTACTCAATGAAGGGAAGTCTGTCTCTACCTTTACTACTGTTTCCTTAAGCCCAAATTCAAATCAAAAGCTAAATAACTTCTGAAACTGAAATGGATTAGCAAGGGTTCAAGCCCACCACGTAACCACAACCCTCGTCAATCACTTGAACTGGCACCTTTAACAGGTTCCCCATGCAAAGTACTGACCTTCATAGCAAAGCTAAGCAGTACACTTAGACATCTGCAACTGTTCCTGAACATTCAAGCTAGCTGCTTTACAGACGAGCCTTGTTTTTGCATCAGAGGGCGATGGCTTTACTTGCAGACATTTACTTCATGAAATACCACAGCTGAGCTCTAAGTTCAGCCAATTATCCAGGCCATTATTCTTCCCAAGCAGATGAAAACTCTATTCTAGCATGACACACTTATTAATACCCACTTTTGGCTCCAGGAACTACTATACTATCATCGCTAATCCCGAGGTAGTGTTAAGAATAAGCTTCCTGTTTATACTCTATAATCAGCCAGATCAACTAATAAAGCTTTAACAGTTAAGAACTGAAACAATGAACCATTATCAAAGCAGCAGCAGCAACAATTGATAAAGCCTGCTCCCAAACCCCTTTAAGATATGAGGCAACTCAAAGAAGTATGTAGCTGAGCTAGATCTGACGTGTGCTTACAAGACAGCACCATGACAACACATAAATAGACTAAGAGCTTTCCACAAAACCATAATAGTCTCTTATGAGTTAGAGCAAGCTTCTGAAGTCTAAAAGCCACCAGAATATTCTTACTCTTAAAATTTAGCCGTTAAAGTAAAAACAAACTAGCTCACTTCTGTTTAATAGTGCCTGCAAGAACCACACCACAGCTAAATACCAAAGCCTCTCAGAGGTTGAATGCTTGAGTTGCTACTTCATCAGCTGAATCCAAACATCCCCTAACATCATTTCATCTGACAGTCACACAGACATCCCAGTACTGTAGCTACACCCTTGTTAGAACAGAAATCTCAAATTGGAAAGCATCTGCAGCAAGGCTGAGTTCTGCAGTACCAACGCATCGATATGACTCCAGGCTACAGTTAGTCAAGCTGAAATCAATCTTCAGAGAGAGCAGCAACAGATGCTGTTTGTGCAGGGTGCACAAGAATGAGACCAGTCTCAGGGGCCAGCACTAACACTTGGGAGTTACATCTCTGCTTAAGCATTTCAGAGCATGCACCAGACCTTCAGAACAGTCCAAGTACACAACGCAGTTCCAAATATGGAACATCAACAGTTATCGTGAAAGCTCTGTCTGCTACTACCTGAACAGCTAGTCTGAAATACCTCCACTGACAACAGGAGAGCACCAAGTAAATTATTTTGCCTTATGCTGGAAGGTGGTTTCAAACTCTAAGTCTTTACCACAGACCTCCCCCGTCCTCCCCCACAACCCACACACACTTGTCTGCATTTAAATAATCTTCACAGCTTCAATAAATAGCTCCAGTGCCTACAGAACTATTTACAACTGTTTTAGCAGACAAACCTTCAAATTCATCTTATTCATTGGTGTTTTACAGAATAAGCTTTTAAGATTTAGGCAATAAGTAACAGCATCCACCCGTATCTCCTCAGTATTTAAGAAAGCTAGGTAACTTGCATAACATGGACTGTCACTGGATTAAGAGATGCGCCAGGTTAAGTAGGAGTATCAGCACAGCATATGAAAACCTCACCTGCGATCTGCTCTTCTGTCAGTTGATCAGCCTGCAACAGAAGAGAACAGCATTATAGTTACTGAAAAATTTCAGCAAAGATACGTATTTGCAGTTGCCTTTGAATCAGGCAACTTCTCCTCAGGATTTGCCTTCCTCATTTGTAAATAATTCCAATGAACACGGCTCAGAAGTCATTGAGATAGCCTGCTAAGAACTAGCAGATTGTCATTTCCTGACCCCATAAATATCTGATACACCAAGAATGGATTTCCATGCGCAATTACCTAAGCTACGCTAGGAAACCCAAGGCCTGCAGGTCCCCCCAGATCAGTTGAAGGGGCTCATTAACACACCAGGCTATCAGTGCTTCCATTAGACACTTTATACCTTGCAACAGTATCCCCCTACATCCCAAATTTAAGGTAGGTTCTTGTCTCTTCTCAGAAGTTACAATCCTGTAACTAGGAAAAAAAAGATGTTCTTCCCTCGAATCAAGTACACCCTCCACTAACAGAACCTCAGGTCCAAGGCAAGATAGCAAAAAACAGAGTCCACATAATAAGTACTAACAGCTTCCACCCAATCTGGTAGTTTCCATGTATTTGCATTTTAGTTGCCTAGACTTCTTTCAAACTTATCTGCAGACAGCAGTAACGCAAGGCAGCTTACAGACTCGCCAGGCAAAGGCCCAGCAACACAAAGGCTTACAGGTTTGGCATCAGTAGTTAGGTAAGCACCACTTCATACATTCTGTTATCTGGGACCAGTTTAAGACCAATTGGATTTGACAATAAAAAAAAACCCTTACAGTCTTCAAGGACAAATCCAACTAAGCTTCAGACTTGATAGAACACAAACGTGTTTAAGAACAGCACAAATGTCTTCCCTAGGTTTCCAAGTCAGCTGGTTCTTCAAACAACTTCAGGACAGCTCCATTAGAGTGGTGAGGTACTGGAACAGGCTGCCCAGAGAGGTTGTGGATGCCCCGTCCCTGGAGGTGTTCAAGGCCAGGTTGGATGGGGACCTGGGCAGCTCCTTAAATGGGGAGTTTAGCGGCTCTGCATGTGGCAGGGGGGTTGGAGCTTCATGATCCTTGAGGTCCCTTCCAACCCTGGCCATTCTGTGACATTAACAAGGCAACCCATTTCATCAAGGAATCTCTTTTGAGCTCCTTACCTCATAAAACAATAGTCAAGACTTCAAAACACCAAAGACACCTTCTCACTGCATCACTATTTCAGTTCATCCCCATCGTGGTCATTTTATCAAAAACCTTTCTATTATCTCTACAATATCAACAGCATTGTTTTCAATTGCGTTTGCCTACAAAGGCTGCCCTACACAACAGCATTCTGTTAGTGTAGTATGGAGATAGGTAAGCATCACCTGCCCATTTCTGCTGATTTTGATGTACATTACATCTCCACATTGTTTACACTGAGCTCACACACACGGCTAAACCACTTACAAGAAATATATGCATGGTAATAGCCCAAAATAAAATAGCCCAAGATAAGGGCAGCGATAAGCAGTTTCCCATACAGCCTCTGACTCATCTACACCAGAAATCAAGATCACAACCACAAGCAACTTCTAAAAGATCAGGTGAGGAGCATTCAATAACTATACCCTCTACTTGCTCCCATTTCAGCAGCTGTAGGCAGTATTTCTTTAATGAGCTTCTCAAGAGTGGTATCAAGACAACTGAGGAAGTCATCAATTCCACATCAGGCTTTGAGAAAGTGTAAGCATCCTGCTGGACACTTAACAGAAGCCTAACAGATTTCTGCTCAGCAGGAATGTACCATTAACACAGACACGTACCTCTGTATAGTATTTACATTTTTAATCACTCAAGTGAAGAGAGTTATGTGCTATATTTCCACACGATATTTTTAACCCCAGAAAGCAGTACATCAAGTGTAAGTAGCAAGAACCTACTTTATTTAGGTCAGTACTTCAGGGTTACCAAGTTGAGTCACATACTGTTTTATATAAACCGTTTTATGTAAAGACATGACATCAAGCAGTGTTTAAGCTACTAAGTGTTCCTGAACTCTTGCAGAGACTTACAACTTCCTATAGCCAGCAGCCACGAATTTGGATGAGCTCTGTCACTAGCTTCAATAGGCATAGCCTTTGTGAAGAGCACGACGCTTACTAGGAGCCATAGGTACAGGGCAGCTGAAAGATAAGCAAGGAGGTGGGGCAGGGCTGAACAAACACCATCTGCACTCCGCAGTGCCGGGCACTGCAGGGAGCACTGCGCAACAGCAGCCAGAGGCGGAGCCAGCAAGGCAGCCACCCACTGGTCTGCATGGAGGCAGCAGCGGCCCTCAGCCCCAATCCCAGATCCCTGTTCCAAGTACAGGCCAATGCATTTCTGGTGGAGGGCCTTCGGTGGTTCCATGCCAAACTGCAGCTAGATACTCCCACATCACGTCATTGGCCAGTACACGCACCTTCAGTAACACAACCTGACTCCAATAACAGTCACATTATGACCACCTAGTGCTCCTCACTTCAGCTCAACATGCTTCTTTCTTAAAGCCAACATCCTTCTGAAAGCCTCCTCCTCAAAGGCTTTGCAGCTTGGGTACGACCTCCTCTCATCTACACTGCAGCATTTTTACTGCAGTACCTCCCCTCCCCCATTAAGTCAGGGGCCTGACAACGTATCCACACTGCCTAGGGAAGAGGGAGCTGCAATATGCAGCAAACGCAGCCTCTGGAGGTAGTGTTTCATTACAGCCAGGGCTGTTATGCAGTAACACCCCTGAATATCCCTCAACAGATCCACATCTCACCAACACTACCTGACATGGAGCTAGAGGCAAATCACAGAACAGATAAGGCAGCTCCCTTCAAAACCTGGCAGTCTGGTATACCTCACACGTGCCAGATCAGAACAAACAGCTCTGTTCTGCCAGAATTAACCAAAGAACGAGAACCACAAGCACACACAGACCAGAGTGACACCTGCAGCAGGTCGGCTTACACCGGCACGAAGTGCTTTACTTCCCCCAACACACGCAGCACCGGCCAGGGAGCCCTGAGGCTCAGCCCGCAGGGGCTGCCAGGAGCCATGACCGCGCCTCCTGGACACACCCATTTCCACACACACAGCCCTCACTGGAAGATACTCCATTTTTGGTTCTGTACCGATGGCCACGGCCAGCCAGCTTGGAATTACTGCTCTTTACAGACAGCCTGCCGATTACGCTCACAATTAAAGAAAAGGCACAAAAATCTAGCTTCAGTTCATTTAACTTCTTTAATTAAAGCGGCTGAAAAAGCTCTAAGTGCCCATCTTTCGTGTTACACAGCAGGAGTCCATAACGGTGGCAATGAATGAAAGCAGTCAGTCCCACCGCACTGCACCTTCTCTTAGTGCACAGGTCGCTCTGAGCAGCCATCGGTGGAGGCTTTGCGACACAATTATTTTCTGTATATTTCAGCATCCGCTGAAATTTCAGCCACCGAATCCGTATCCTTCGCGATTCTCCAATCCCAACCTGCTTTAACTCGGCAGAATCGATCAGAACCCTAAACAAACGCACCGCTTAAAAAAAAAAACTGCACTGCGCTTGATCAAGACAACGCAGTACCGTCCACCGCAATGACCAAAACGGGAAACCAGAACCGCTCACCAAAAAAAAAAAAAACCCAAAAAGAAAAACAGCTCACACAGAGCAGCAGCAGGGCGGTACCGCGGCCTCGGCCCCACCGCGGGGCCAGCGGGAAGGGGGGAGCGAGCCAGCCGCTCCCCGCCGCGCTGCCGGTGCTGCCCAGGGGCTGTGGGCTGCGCAGCGTGCCGTGCCAGGCGCAGCGCCCTCCAGCCGCGTTCCGCAGGGGCAGAAGGCGAGAGGCTGAGCGGTGCGGGTGCCGCCGTGGCAGGGTTCCCCCCCCCACTCCGCCGCTCCCGCGCTCTCCTCCCCGAAGGAACCGTTATCCGCCGCCCCCACCTCCCCCTCCCCCCCCCCCACCCGACATGGCGCCCGAGCTCAGGGCAGTTTGAATTTTGAATCCGCACCAACGCCCCAGGGCGGGAAAGGGACCCGAGCGGGACTCGCCCGACGCCACTTCCTCCTACGCGCAGGTCGCCTCCGAGGGACCCTCTGCCCCTGCCCGCCCCGCCGCGCTCTGCCCGCGGCCAGCGGACCCCTCACCTCGCCCCACCCCGTCCCGCCGCCCGCACGGCCCCTCGCCCCGCAGCCCCCCGCCTCCCTCCCTCATCCCGCAGGCGCCTCCACCACCCGGCCCTCCGCCCGCACGGCCCCGGCGCGGCCCCGCGGACTCACCATGGTGTCTCGTCCCGGCTGCGGGGTGCGGTAAGAGCTAACGGCTGCACAAGGCGCACCAGCAACCTACCCGCTCGACGGCTCGCCTCACACTGAGCCCTGCCCGGCCGCCAGCCGTGCCTCATAAACCGCCTCACAGCCCGCGCGGATCGCTCCGCGCCGCTCCCTCCCCCCACCCCTCTCACCGTCAGGGAACGGCACTGCGAAACGAGTCCCGGCTCCCCGCGCTCTGCCCGACGGGCCCTCCCGCGCCCCCGCCTCGCCCTGTTTCTGCCTCCGGACCCCCGGGACCCGGCGCCGGGAGGCAGGGGGAGAAGCGAAAAGGGTCGGAAGCTCGTCGAACGCCGGCGGTGGGCGCCGGAGGGGCGACCCGCGGGACTATTTGTCCGAGCGGAGGAGGATTCTAGAAAAAACGTCTCTCCGTAGCTGGGACTCCGAGCGGAGGGCGCCGATTGGTGGATTCGTACCTGCAATGCGTCACTGGGACATGCACAGTCTGGGCTGGAGCGGCCCCCTCCCCCAGCCCGCCCGCAGTGCGCGGAGCCCGGCCCGGTGCGGCGAGTTCGGCCTTAGGCCGGGCTTCGCCGCCGCCTGCCCCGCCGCCTGCCCTAAGGCGGCCCGGCCCGGCCCGGTCCGGTCGGGTCCGGTCCGGCACCGCACGGCTCTGCGGCAGGGCGTGCCGGGCAGCGCTGCGGCGGGCAGTCGGACTGTGCCACGGGCCCATCGGCGGCGCCCGCCGCTGGCGGTGGTGCTGGGCGTCGCGGCTCCCCGAGGGCTGCAGGGCGGCCTCTCGAGCTGACACCCCGCCGACACGCGCTGGTTGAAGGCGGCCGGATTGTCCAGCTTACAGATGGGTGTTCATATGGCTGTGGTAGTGTAAGGCAACAGATAGCCGCTGATTTTTCAGTATGAGCAAGGCTGCCCGGTGTCTGAGAATCACAGCTTCAGGGCCGTAAACATGCTGTGAAACCTGGAGCCCGAGTGTGGGTGTTCTGACCCAAGTTGGAAAACAAATCTTCCTTCACCACTCAATAAAAGTGATCTGCTTCCATTCTGCATCCGTTGCAAAGATGGTTGGGTTGGCGCCGGCACAGTGCTCACCAACAAGCCTATCTACCCATCACTGTCCCATGCACGGGGCAGCAGGCTCTGCTCAGTGCAGGGAGGGATGCTTCGCCCAGCCCTGTGCTCACAGCTCCTCTGGCTCGGGGCCATGGGAACGTGGTGGGGGTTGTGGGCCCTTGGCAAAAGCTCTGAGTTCTTCCCTCCAATCCTTAACTGGAATTCCTGGGCTTGCTGTCTTCATGGAGCTGGTGTCTGCTGAATTTGGAACTGAAGGGGAGCATCAGCACAAAGCCTTGTTCCCAAGAGTGCACAGACCTTCTACAAGCCCAGGGCCTCTCGCCCTTCGCTCCCTGCCTGCGTTGTTATGTGAACATAGAAAACACCATGATATGCTTAAATTCAGCTTCCTGCCTTGAAACCCAAAGTTGTGCTACATTAGCTTTTTAGGCCTTCTTTCAACCTAATGCATTCATCATCCAAAAATCAAGCACACTGAAGCTGCTGTCCTTTCAAACCCTGGCAATGTTGTAAATCGTGTAAATACTTTTAGATGAAGAAAAGTTTCCAGAGAAAGCAGCGAGCATCCCAACCATCGCCATGTGTGCTTCCCCACGCCTCTGTGGTGTGGAGCAGCAAGCCCTCACCTGCAGCTCCATGCCAATGAGCAAGGAGCAATGCAGCACTGCTCCCCATGTCACTCTGGTACACCACCTAGGAGTGACATGGCCTCTGTGGAGCTGCTAGCACAGGTCCTGGGAAGGCAGCAGCTCCATCTGCACGGTGCCATGCCATGCAGATTGAGCCCTGTGCTGGCATGTGGTTTTGACATTGTGGCACTGGAGCTGCAACGATGCTTGTGTGCTCAGTATGGGCCACCTGACGGCTCTTTACACACTGATCTGCACAGCATCTCAAGTGGGACAAGACATCACACACTGCCCTCACAGGCGGGTTACGCCTCTAGTTCAAAGAACCACCTGAAATGAGGCGTACGGACATTTCCATGCATTGGCCCCAGGGGCTTGCCCAGAGGGCCGTGGCAGTGCTGTCTGAGGCATCGCATCCTGCCCCTGTCCTGCTCCTGGCATCTGCTGCTGGCCTCTTGGGAGCACTGAGGCTATGGGAAACACAGGGCCCAGGGCTTAAACAAAATGTAGGCTCTGTAATTACAGCCTGAGGGTCTGCGGTGCAGTCGGGACTTGAACACGAGTCCCTTGGAACCCAGCCACTGTAGCGCTTTTTTTTCTGTATGTGTCCTTTTAAACTACTGGGTATCTGTACTGTATTCAATTATTCATACCATTCAGTTTCCTTTAAAGGCTGAGGAAGTCATGAAGATAATCCTCTTTCTGCCGTATGTTTCCCGTGCCCTCTGCTTCTCTCCTCTATTCCTCTCCCCTTTCCCTGTTCTCATGTGTCTCCTGCTTTCCATCTGCATTTCCCTCAGCAGCACCCATTTCCTGTGGGTTTCATCACCACCCCCACCTCGACTCCATCTGTTGCAGAGATCAGCAGTGAAGTTAACTCGCGATTACACTCGCAGGGAATCTTGCCAACAGATAGTGTGGCACTGCCGGGTATTAAAGCGAACGCTGTGATGCCAGGAGGAGCACAGAGGAGAGGTCACTCCTCTCCCGTGCAGCCACTGCAGACAGGTGAAGCTGCAGCTTCCCATCTCCTGGAACAGGTGCCTTTGCTCGCAGCCAAGCTGCTGAAAGCTGCTATGCAGCAGCCAGGCTGGCAGCCCGTGGGTCCGTGCTGTGGGAGGCTGGCAATGCAGCAGTGGGCTGGGTGCTGACGGAGCAGCCCCGGGAGCTGCCTATCATTGCCCTGTCACAACAGCCCGGTGACTGGGACTTGTTAATGTGATAGTTTCTCTCCCTGGTATGTAATATAATAGATTTGTCAATGTTTGTGTGCTTTGGGTTGTGGGTTTTGTTGTTGTTTCTTTTTTTTTTCCATGTAGAAATATAGCCTTATGTAAGCCTGGTTCCAGGACTGGAGCAACAAATTTGGAAAGCAGTTTGAGGTAGGAGGTTAGGTGAGCTGCATATGCCAGCAATGCACACAGCTACTTTATGTGGTATATTTAATATTGTGTAAATTTGATTTATTCCCTAGTTCTAACAATGCTTTAATGGACTGTGGGTTGATGTATACAGAGCACTGTGCAGTGATATAAAATGCCAGGCCTGTCTCCGAAAGTTTTGCTATGTCATTTCTATGTAGATCATAGTAATAAGTTGAACAACCTAATTAGAAATTAACTGCAAATTTTATAAGTGAACTTCTCAAATAAGAAGGAAGAGTTCTCCACTTAAAATTGGGACTTAAGCTAAGCATTTAACTGCATATAGAAAGAAAATAGCTTATGGCTCATTTTGTGCAGTGGTTCTAATTTCATTTCAGGTTTGTCTATAACAGAGAACCTGCCACCCTAAGAAAGGGCTTCAGCTCCAGTCCCAACTTTAAATCACAGAGCCAGTGCCGCGGGGATGAAACTGAGGAGCAAACCAATATTTAGCTGTCCAGATGTACGTGGAGGGCCGGTTCAGCCTTCAGCAAGGGAAAACTTCAGTGCTGTGTCCAAAATTTCAAGGTGCTGAATGAGAAGTTCATCTTCCTGGCACCCTGACAGCAAATATTGATCGAATAAACCCGAGTGCAGAGAATTTGCAGGAACTAGGCAGCTGCTCATCCAGCTAACCACACCTCACCTGAATGGTAGCAGCTGTTAGGAAAAAATATTGGTCTGTTGACCATGTTAAATGGATGACACCGCCTCTAATAAAAATATATTACAGAGAAACAGGGCAGGGGATGCCTCCCGACACCTGTCTTTAATCTCTGGATGCTCTGAATCCCCAAGATAAGGTAATACATGAAATGCATTCAGAATATGATGTTGAATAGTTTTTTCAATAATGAAGGTAATACTGATATATCCAAATTAGTGATTAAGCGACTTGGGTACAGACAGCAAAGCAGTTCTAGTAGTGATGAATCATCAGAGCCCCTCAGAAAGCTATTCAATTCTGTGGTTAGCAGATACAGAGCTCCTCTGCTGGGATTACATGGCTCCCCAACTAGAGGCTGGATGTTGTAAAGCTTATTTAGGTGACCTAGAGCTTTACTGGAGACTTTAACTGGACTGTAACCAAGCACCAAAAGAAAACAAGACAGGGGAGTCCAAAAATGTACGTGAGTGCACTCAGACAAAACTGAGGAATGGAGGAGGATGATGTGAGATCTAGTTATAGGCTATAGGCTGGGAGTATGAGTAGAGAGCTGGTGGGACTCACAAACTCCCCTCCCTTCCCCTCCCCTCCCCTCCCCTCCCCTCCTTCCTTTCTTTCTTTCTTTAAAAACAAACAATGAACCAAACAGCTGCTTCAATTTTATGTGGCCTTCTAATGAAACATTGCCCATAAGCCTACAGTATCTTTAAGACTCCTATGAAGGAAACATAGCTGTAGGTCTTCATTACACTTTATACTTCCGGAGCAGTCTCTCCTTGGAGATGCAGAATGTGGGAGGGTAGCCTGTGCAGGAGCAGCAGACGCTCCCCTTTCCAGCCTATGTTCTTGAAATACAAGAATTGATGGCCCATAACACTCAATTATGAATTAGATTTTGCTTTTTCTATTTTGTTTTCTGAAATACCTCAATAGGAAGGAAAGCATAAAAAATGTGTTTGCTCCAAGATGACAGAAACGTGCTAATCAGTAATTAAACAGTTGTTACCTACTGGACAGTTCTGTTTTTCAGGGACTGAAGACAGTAACAAGAGGTAGCATTAAATCCAGAAAATGACTGGGTGCATTCCGATTTCTCCAGTTTCTGCAAAGGCTTATTTTAATTTCCTTCAAAGAGATCTGAGAGAGGGTCTGTATGAGTCACCTGCACTTCCACTGGTAGGCCAGAAGGCTTCATTGAAGGGAAGTCCTGCATGACCACCCAGTATGCCATCACACTTGGGTTGCATGCAGCATATCTGCAGGCATCGGGTCAAACCTTCGTCTCCTGTGGAGACTCTTTGC